ACACACACACACTCACACACACACACACACACTCACACACACACACACACACAGGCGCTGATGGAACGCAGTGACAGCTTGACTCTTATCTCAGGTGTGTGTCGGCATACAGATGAAAACATGATCATGAGCTCAGCAGATCGGGCCGTATTGATCAGCGGGAGTTTTATGAGTTCAGTGATCCAGACGAGCTCAGTAAACACACACCACTGTAAACGCAACCAGATTCAGAACACGGCCGTGTGTGTCCAAGAACACCATCTGTTTGCGTTACGGACAGAGTCAACATCGCAAAAGAGACAGAAGTACAAAAACACTCAACAGCTGAAACCATCAGAGAAACTATCTGTGAGCTGCCTATCTAGACTGTATTTTAAGGGCTCATAGATGAACTCATGATAGAAAGACTTTAGCAAGGCAGCACCGAATGCATTGTGATGTTTGATTGATAAAAAACACTATAAATATGCTTCTCATTCAAATCTGAAGAGTATTCAGATTAACTTAAAATATTGACACTAATTAAAGATATAAAAGTAATTGTATAAACTCCATGTTTTATATTAGGGTATATTCTGTGACATTCCGTTCATTTTATTTAAAATCTGAAAAGTATTAATAAAAACACTGAAACTAAATGAAGATGCAAAAGTAAGTATATAAACTATGTATAGGCCTATATCATAAGAGGCTCACATGAAGGTGCAAGAAGAATAAAAAAATTAAAAAATTTTAAAATTTTAAAATTTTAAAATTTAAAAATAAATAAAAAAAATAAAATAAAATCTTCTTTAATATTCCTAAATGTCGTCTCTAGGGCAGAGAAAAAATATATGAAAATGTTATTTCTGATGTTCTCTGAACAGTCAAAACATCCAGATTTATAAATGTTTTAAAAACATTTTTGTCTTTGTTATGCAAATGCAAAGGAAACATTCCATTTGATCATTTTCCAATCATTATAGGAATGTTACTTTTAAATGTTCCCTGAACGTTCTGAAACCAGTGTAACATTCAAAAAACATTAGACGAACATGCAACTAAAATATTTCAGTAAAAAGGTTCCATGAACGATGTCCTATAAATAATGTTTTTGTGCTAACATTTTGAGAACATTATTAAAGACCAGATAACTTTGAATGATCGTTCTGTTGACGCTGTACTGGAAGAATATTTGTTCATAACCTTGAGAGAACCTTGCCAGAACGTTCCCTGTTAGCCGGGAGCTCAGTAGGGTTTTCTGTCTACTTTAGTCACATGAATGCGTCATCAGGGGCCAGTTGTTCAGAAAGTGTAATC